GTTAAATATTTTTTCAGACTCTACAAAACAAAGTGTCCTTGCTTTATGTTGTTAACGCCGATATTTGCATAGGCAAGCAATTTTCTTAATGTAAATCCTATTTTGTTTTACATTTTACATGTAATTCAGCAATTATTCTAAGTTATATCTAATTAACATGTAACATTGTTTTGTACTATTACAATACTGTGTATTTTGGAAAAGTCTTTCCTGTAACAGTCATACATATTCATTATTTTATACTCTATTTGTTCCTTATCTTAACTTTAACCTTAAGTTTTATCATTATTTGGGAACACCAGTGTAAATTTTCAGGATTAATTAAATTATGTGTTTAACAAAATGAAGAATTTGATGTAGATACACAGAAATTTCTCTCCTGTTGCTTGTTCTGTTCTTTCCTGTTACACTTTTTAACACAGAGACCAAAAAACCTTTCAAGGTCTTATTTTTCAGACTGAAACTGATTCAATATTTACTTTCCAATCATTTTAAACTAGAATTTAGGATTCTGTTACAGGAAAGACATGTCTATTGCAAAGAACTGTCTTTCCTGTTACGGGCCTGTCTTTCCTGTTACATGCACTATAATTATGAAAATATGTGGTTTATATGTGATTGTAACAAGATTGGATCTACATGCATGCATAAAATGCCATTTCTTATCAAATGTGTGACTGAGGTTTTTTATACTAACTTTTACGACTGTAAAATGGTGAAAATATTGACCAAAATGATGTTCAGATTTGAAAACTGTCTCTAAAATCATTGTAAAAATTATTTTGCTCCTGTTTCGTTGGAAAATTATAACTGATTCTTTATTTGTCATGCTTTCACAAAGTAGGCTGAACTAATTTTATAATTATTTTTCCACCTCTTAATAGTAAAACTTGCATTAATGTGTCTGTAACAGGAAGGACAAAATTTAAGGTGAACCAGTATTTTGATTTCTTCTTACTCTGAAATCAAATGATTTCCAGGTGGGAGTTTAGTGTTTTTGTGTTCTTCAGATACGTGGTTTATAGTAACGATTAAAAAAATTTAATTCTAAATGCAAGGAATTTGTTGATTTTTCCAATATTTTTTTCTGCGGTTTTTGATAATGACTCATGTACGACTTAATATTATCTCGTTCGTGTGACTTATTATGTCGTACGTACGACATAGTATCTCGTACGTACGACATAATATCTCGTTCGTGCGACTTTTAATGTGGTACGTACGACTTAGTATCTCGTACGTACGACTTATTATCTCCTACTTACTACTTAGTATCTCGTACGTACGACTTACAATATTTTTTTTCAAGTGACAGCAATACGCTTCCGTAAGATTAGTTATCTTTCATGAAAGTTTTTCAGATGACTTTGGCCATTATAATTTAACATTTTGGTATCTCTCTATCATATAAACATGCAGAGAGCAAATATCTTCATATAAAATTCACGGGTTATAGGTAAATACGTGATCTGTATAGTCACATGGCGAAATAATATCTACCAGTACATATATATTAAATGACTTACTCTTCTTGCTCTTCGTATATAAAAATGACTTAAAGACGAAAGTTAAATAAAAATTGGTTTATTTACAATGTAAACAAGATGTGTTTGTGAAACACTGATGCCCCCGTATGGCAACATAGCGAAGATTAACCTTTCTCATATGCAGATCAAATATGTTGGTACCTAAAGTAAGGCATTTTCACAAAAAATACAAATGTTGAATATAAAACCCTAGCAACACCTGTTCAAGGGATATGACCAAGGTTAACATTTTAAAAGGTAGGGCAAACTCCGGGGTCAAGGTCAAAGGGTCGAGGTTGCTGGTTTCTAAAGAAAGGCCTTGTCTCAAAGATTACATATGGGAAGTATGAAAGCGCTGGTCCTTACCGTCCAAAAGTTATGGTGACATTATGGTCAATGTTAAAGTTTGTAAAAAGTAGGTCAAACTCCAAGGTCAAGGTCAAAGGGTCAAAGTTCTTGATATCCAAGGAAAAGTCTTGTCACAAGGATTACATATGTGAAACATGAAAGCTGTAGCCCCTACTGTTCAAAAGTTATGGCCAAGGTTAAAGTTTGTAAAACGTTAGGTCAAACTCAGAGGTCAAAGTCAAATGGTCAAAATTGTTGGTATCCAATGAAAGGTCTTCTCACAAAGATTACAAAGGTTAAAGTTTTTTCGTAAGTTCGGAAATCTCCAAGGTCAAGGTCAAAAGGTCAAAATTGTTGGTTTCAAATTAAAGGTCTTGCCAAAAAAAAAGATATTTGAAATATGAAATTACTAGTATCTACCGTTTAAAAATTAGGGCCAAAAGAAAAGTTTGGAATTTTTGTGTAAAAATGGGTCAATCTCCAAGGTCAAGGTCAGAGTGTCAAGATTATTGATATCAAATGAAAGGGCTTGTCAAAAGGATGAAATATGTGAAGTTTGAAAGCCCGAGTTTTAACCCTTCAAAAATTATGTTCAAGGTTGTATTTTAAAGTAGGTCAAATTCCAAGGTCAAGGTCAAAGGGTCAAGGCTCTTGGTACCCAATAAAGCGTCTTCATACAGGGATTACATATATGTGAAGTATGAAAGCCGTTCAAAATTTATAGCAAAGGTTAAAGTACAGAAATGTCCAACGTCAAGGTTAAAAGGTTCAAAGTTGCTGGTATCCAATGAAAGGTCTTTATAAATGCAAAAAACATACATGTGAAGTTTAAATGTCCTGTAATCTAAATGGTTTAAACCCCCCCCCCCTAAAAAAAATCTGCTAGGGGGGGGGGGGGGTTAACACCCCAGGGGATCAGGATTTGAACGAACTAGAATCTACACTACTTGAGGATGATTCTATATAAATATTACTAATCGTGGCTTTGAAGTACTTGAAAAGAAGATTTTAAAAGGTTCCCCTATATATTCCTATGTAAAACTTTGGTCGGTCATTTTGGTCCCAACCTAGTTCTGGGGGTCATGATTTGAACAAACGTGAATCTACACTACCTGAGGATAACTTCACATAAGTTTCATCTTTCCTGTCTCAATGGTTCTTGAGAAGAAGATTTTTAAAGATTTTTCCATGTAAAACATTTTCTATGTAAAACTGAGATCGGCCATTATACCCCCACCCTACCCCTAGGGGTCATGATTTGAATAAATTCAAAACTACATTACCTGAGGATAATAATCATTCAACATGAGTTTCATCTTTCCTGGCCCAGTGGTTCTTGAGAAGAAGACTTTTAAAAAATGCCATTAATTTTTCTCTAATTCATAATTACCCCCCTTGGAAAAGGGCGTGGCCCTTCATTTGAACAAACTTGAATTTCCTTTACCCAAGGATACTTTGTAGCAAGTTTGGTTGAAATTGGCCCAGTGGTTCTTGAGAAGAAGATGAAAATGTGAAAGTATACGACGACAACGCCAACAACGACAGACGACGGACAGATTTTGATCAGAAAAGCTCAATTGAGCCTTTGGCTCAGGTGAGCTAAAAGGTTTTTGAAGTTTTGGTGCGTGTCTACATGTACGTTTTATTTTTTTGCTTGTCAAGAAATTTCTTAAAGCGGCAATGCAACGCACAAAGTAGAAAATTGACAAAAGCCGAATTTTTGCATAACCCTTGTTAGTTTTGTTCAATTTCTAAAAGTATTTGGTTTCAGAAAATTACACGTTTCAGAACCGAAAAATTCTATTTTAAGGAGAAAAATAAAAGTAAAAATATTTTGTGTATGCCCCATACCGAAAATATTGCTCAATACTTCTTCCTCCCAATTGTACGCGCGCGCAGAAAAGCTGAATAAGTTTCCATGGTTACCATTATCTCAAGTACCCAGGAAGGAATGTAAGTAGACCAAAATTTAGAGTCAATCATTACAAAACGTTGTTAGAACATATTTCACACCTTTTCATGATCCAGTTGAATGTTGTTTACAAGTTTGAGCTAAAAATAAAAGTGGCGTGACAAACACGAAATCAACGAAACGATAGATACACATCCTTCATAGGCGTAGTCACAGGGGCAGCGGGGCACTAGCCCCCCCCATTTTCAGATCTCGGGGGGCAAGAGTATGTCTGTGCCCCCCCCCCCCCCACTTTTTAATGAAGAAAAAAATCACAGCTATTTTTCCCCAACATTACCTTTACTATAGGAAATGGTCGTTGAAGGGATAGTTTCCCCCCCCCCCTCCCCCCTCCCACTTTTTGACCCTAGCATAGTTATATCGAAGAATTGTGGAAAAAAATTGGAATGGAAAGTAACTTGCCTTTGAAATAGTTGGCCACTATCCCCGTATATTGTGCATAAAAGCGAAAGTAGTAACAAGTATATTTTTTGCAGACGACAATGATATGTTGAAGGAAGCTTGTTCATATAAATTATGATAAGCCAGTCAAGCACAGTTTATGAAGTGCCTTTTTAATCAATATCGAATCGATGGAATGACAACTTTGATTGAATGATTAACATTTGTATTGGCACTCGGAGTTTATTTCCTTGCCATCGTCTGAAGAAGAGGAAAGTCGAGTTGCAAACTAAGTATTATTTCACTCAAATTCAGATACTGAATGATTATTCAGACGTAAAGTTAACACACTGATAATGTTAACATGTGTGGATTGATGAAGGTAAAGATGATTTTTTTAAATACCTAATGATTCAATCTGTAAGCTTATCCACCTTTTTTCAAACGTAACGTTTAACTATAGGCTGGTTGCCCCCTCCACGACACTTTTATTTTCAGTACGGTTAAGTAAGGGTAATTTAGTATTATATATAGAAAATTTTGAAACCAGTCATATCCCCCCCCCCCCCCCACCCCCTTCCCCGAAATAGGATTAAATATCTCTGGCTGCCCCTTTCAAAATTGGCTGCTACGTCACTGGTTAACACTTAAAGGAGAAGAATGCTTTCCACACATATATATTATAAACTACACTGCATGCATATCATAACTAGAGTAGAAATGTAAATATCAAAACCACAGTATCCTAATTTGAAAAAAAAATATTAACTTACTAAATCAGACTCCAAAAGTTCTAAACGGCAACTACACGTCACAGGATATAGGTACACACATTTTGATGACGTCATAGTACTTGCTAGCGCTATATGAAAAATATGCCTACGTGCCACAGGCACCTGACTTACTTATTTTTCTTTTAATGAAAAAAATATACACATACTTCACAGGCACCTGACTTATTTATTTTTCTTTTAATGGAAAAAATATACACATACTTAATAATAAACTTATTAAGTATACGTGTATATTTTTTTTTCATTAAAAGAAAAATAAGTAACGTCAGATGCCTGTGCTACGTGCAAGTCTTGTGTGATTTACACACCAATTACTCACACTAAACTTAAAAACATTCCTTAAGGCCAGCAGACGGTAAGGCTTGCCTTATTAGTCGTGGAACTTAAGTTCTAGCCTTACCGTGTGTACACCCTTATATAATTTTTTCGAGCCTTATAAGTTTGACTTGGGAGATACAATTGCCTGATTTGTAGTATATGACTCAGCCTACTTTTATTTCTTAACCAATGAAAACCTTCTACCCAAAGTTCAATCTATTTTTATAAAACCATACACGTTGGTATATTGAAAGGAACATAAAGTATAGTTGAATAAGATAATGATAATATCCGTAAATGCTTCCTCCTCTTTTTAGAAGTGTGAATGCAATATTCAGTAAAATTACTTCAAAATCCTATATAGCTTGTAATCTATTATTCCGTTTGTGCAATATTTATGGCTCAAAACACATGGAATTAATGTAAATGTTGTTTATAATATTGTAAGTATTGCCTTAGCGTGTGGACATGAGAGCCGTACGACCTGCAAAACGTAAGGTTTTAGACTTATAAGGCCTTACCGTGTGTACCGGCCCTTATATCTACATTTTACATGCTTACGGTAGCACACGGTAAGGCTTGCCTTATAAGTCATGGAACTTTAGTTCTAGCCTTACCGTGTGTACACCCTTAATACACGTTTTTTCGAGCCTTACAAGTCTGACTTAGGAATAGAACACTGCTCTAAAAGCATTCTTTATTCAAGACTAAGCTGATATTTATATCTTGACCAATGAAAACCTTCCACCCAAAGTTCAATCTATTTTTATAAAAACCATACACGTTGGTATATTGAAAGGAACATAAAGTATAGTTGAATAAGATAATGAAAATATCCGCAAATGCTTCTGTTAACTTCCTTCTCTTTGTTAAGAAGTGTGAATGCAATGGTCAGTAAAATTACTCCAAAGTCCTATAGCTAGTAATCTATTTATTCTGTTATTCTGCAATGTTTATGGCTCAAAACACATGGAATTTATGTAAATGTTGTTTATAATATTGTAAGTCTTGCCTTAAGGTGTGGACATGAGAGCCGTACGCCCTGCAAAACGTATAAGGCAAGCCTTACAGTGTGTACCGGCCCTAAAGCACCTAAAATATACTCAATGTTTGAATTTCTCGCTGCCCTATATCGTTTTTTAATTATATCTTAGCAAATAATTAGTCTCAAATAAAATACTACCAAAATCTAGAGAATTATGGTGTTCAATATCTTAAAGTTTTATTGAACGCTGAGTTTGTATAACGTATACGAATATGCCCGAAACATCCCGAATACGAGCGTTCAATATCGACCGCCCCGTTGTAAACAAAAAAAAAAAAGACGTCTGGTCAAATTCTGAGCTAAATTAAAGAAAGGAAGTGGCATCTAGGTGTTAAGATGTACTTATTTTTCAACCAAAAATGAAATTATTTATTAAAGATTTAGTACGTATTAGACCCATCAAAACTTTAAGATATTCAATCCCTAATACGACCAAATTCAATGAAAATAAATACATAACAGATATGTAGACTTTGAATTCGCACTTTATTTAGGCCTAGACACACTTCGCATTTATTACCATTAGTGTGCATAGTGGGATGTGTCCTAATTTGTGACCTTGAATTTTGGTAAGAGTTATCTCCCTTTTTTTTTAATAAATAAAAAAAAATCAATTAAAAAAATTTAGCTGGTATAAAAATTATTTTTAATTGTCATTCTATTTTTAATGTTTCAATGCATCTTTCCACTGCAGGATTTATTGATATGTAAATTATTTGAATTAAAAAAAAGAAAAACGCTTTTCCCCATAGACTTCAATGTAATCTTTTTTAAATAACTACTCCTTAATTAATGACATTTTTTAAATTTTTTCACGGACAATCCTTTCCATTATAAAATGCTTTAAAATAATATCAGAGTAGTATGTACTTGACAGACATTGAAGGGTAGAGATATTGGTCCCGAAAGGGATAGAAATCCTTAATAAACAAATCATATTGCTGGGTAGGGTCATCGGAATGATGCGATATCGAACGCTTACAGGACAGACGTTACATATACTTTGAATTCCGATACTAAAAATAATTAATTTAAGTTATTTAACTTGGAATAATTATTATAAATTATGTGGAAATGTTTAAGCTATGTAATAAAGGAGTTATTGAACTTATATTGGTCAATATTGGCACTCGTTGGCTGTATAAATTATGCACTCGCAAGCTTGTGCATTTGTACAGCCAACTTGTGCCAATATTCACCAATATAAGTTCAATAACCCTATATTATCCTGCAGCTGCCCCTTGCATTGATCTAGTAAAGGTAACCTAATCAACTAGGGTTGAAAATAGCTCATTTTGGAGGCCAGATATGAATAAATTTAAGCTTACTTAATTTTTTTATTGTAATCAATAAGTGTCCTCCTTTAATGTGAAAGTCTGAACTATTGCATAGCAGTGTTTTATAATGGTTATTTTGTTTCATGTCTTAGGAGAGGCAGAGATTGACCACAACTTCTCGCAACTTCTCGGGCCTTTCCGACTAGCGGAAAAACGACCTCGAATGTATATGGTAGACGCCATGACAACCCTCCCTTTTCACAATCTTTGAACTATATGCATGGGGACCCTTTATTTGTGGAATATGAAGTTTAACTTTATTCAATGTAATGATATTACCTAAAATATACTATAGAAACTTCAAAGGAATTCCATCTCCGTCTAGCCTATATTTTAATAAACAGGAAATTTTTTAAATTTTTAACATCCGGTGATGTTAATACATTCTAAGTTGTTTTTCCGACCCCTGACGAAAAGACCCGAGATGATGCGATTGAGATTGACCAGGAAATATTATTTGAAATTTCGGCCACGTGGTGCGTCACTCTCCCTTTTCTCCCACTTACATCCTTGGGGGACTTACGTTTTTTTTCCAAATTTGTTATTCACTTGTTATTTATTTTCTCAAGAATTTGGTGAGTAAAATTATTCTAATATGTCTTCAATGGGCAAAACCTCAGTTGTCATTCTTGGTCACTCAACTGTGCGTTGTTATCACGGATTCCTGAAGTATGCAGGCGACTTGAAATGCGTTCATACGACAGCTAACTGAATTAAACTTCTGCGAATAATTTTTTTTATTTCTACAAAAGGCTATTCAGTAAGGCTAGTATGACGTCATTTGTAATCACGTCATGTATGCAGAGCCATCATCTGAAATAAGAATAATAGTGACTACAGATATACATTTTGCGCCAAAACGTCGATTCCGTTTTTCGATTTTTCGTTAAATTAAGATATTAAACGATTTTTATTTAATGATTGAAAACAATAAGATTTCCATGAAACTAAATAAAGTAAACTTCGTTGTTGAACCTGATTCTCAAACACAAGAATCTTTATTTTGATAACATCCCATTGGATCTATTTGGTAACACTAGAGCAACATTTTTTTTTTCATCTTTGTAAAATTTTGATTAACTTTTTTTTTCTTTTTTTTTTGGGGGGGGGGGGGGAGGAGGGCGGATAGGTACATTATGCCCTAATCATTATGTATATCTACATGTATATGTCCTTACCTTTAATATAGGCCCATAGTACGCAGCCGCCCCCCCCCCCCCTCCACACACACTTTTTCTAAGGAAAACAAATTAAAATACTGTATACAGGGTTATTTTCACCTCATGTTATTTTTCGTTCTTTCACACTTGAATTCGTCTTTAATTTGTCTTTCATTCGCCCACTTGTGTTTAGGGCCCAAGGAACAAAAAAGAAAACTGGGGCGAAAATTTCCCTGTATCCAGCAGTTTGGAGAAAATGTAAATTGTCAATTTGAAGCTTTTGCCCTCCCCATCCCTCCTCCCCAACCTTTTGTTGTTGTACGTTTGACACCGAAATTTTTCAGCATGAAATAAAAATTTTGCCAAGATGTTACGGCTAGACCAGCCGAGTCCGAGCATTTTAATTTGCAAGGGCTGTGCCCTTTCTTTCTTCATTTTAATTAATAGTCATTTGAAGAATCTTAAAAATCATGTCATATTAACTTCTTTCAAATGTTATCCATATGCATGTTCAATCTACTTGTATTTCTTTTGTTTGAGGTACAATAAATATCTACCTTAATATTCCTGAATAAATTTCTTTTCTTCTGATAAGTAGGAAAGAGGTTAAGACAAAAAAAATCTAGCCGCTAAATTCTAAATAAACTGTTTGCTAATCATAGTGTACTCCCAAATCTTAAAACCAAGTTTCTTTTCTGATGTTTTTTTTTATAAAGTATTCAATTTGTAAGGTTATGAAGCACCCCCCCCACCCCCACCCCCCACCCCCAAGAAAATGGACGGATCATACTACATGTATTATCATACTGATACACGTAAAACATGTTCTTTAAATATTGATTGCTTCGTCAGGAAAACCTCTTTTGAAAAACTATTACTTGGTGTTATTAATTAAATGGAACAAGCTATCGGAAGTGGGGGGGGGGGGTTCCTTGACTACCCATTCAAAAGACTGTATATTTATTGCGTACAAAAAAGTGGGCTGTTTCTAATTGATTTCTCCACGTTTTTAAACATCTATCTGTATATATTACTAAACGTATGTTCCTAACATATTAGTTCACTTATTCCACAGCAAAACATCCCTCATAATTGTTGTTAATAGCCCTCTATGCCCTGAAATTAAGATTATTGACAATTTCGTCTATTTATACTGCCATTTTGG